GAACCAGGAAGATGCTAACTTCCAGGTCGGCCTACAGTTTTAAAGGTGCAAAGAGAGGCAAAGTCCCGCTTTATGCAGTGGATTACCATAGGAACTTATTTAGGAAAGAATTTGAATGAGCGGTCAAATTTAGCCAAGGTACTACTCAAAAGTAGTTTGTTTTGCAAGTAAGGACATTTGCAGTTTGTCGTAGTAACATTTCCTTTTTTGGATTCCTAGCTTGCTTGGAAACATAGCTATGCTCCACGAACAAAGGTAACATTATCTTACCTAATGCTTCTATTGGCTAGCGCTGCAACACATACTAGATAGGCTAAGGGGCGGGACATCTCTAAGCGGTTGACTAATCACAACAGAGCCGGCCAGCTAACCAATCAGAGCAGACTGGGCTCTGGTTTCAGACAGAGGGCGAAAAGAGGTGCTGCATCACAGGCAGTATGAGAAAAATGAAGAGATTCTTTAACATTAGAGTATGGAATAATGTCACAGTAGAGCAGTGCTTCTCAAAGTGTGGTCCCCGGACCACTGGTGGTCCATGAGCGCCCCACTGGTGGTCCATGAGCGCCCCACTGGTGGTCCGTGAGTGCCCCCTAGTGGCCCGTGAGTATATTGGTAAAATTTCACATTTGAAATACATTTATTTATTTAAGTTTTCCGCACTCTCGCGGGAATATCTCCGCAATGGAGCGAGTTTAAGTTTAACTTTTGATTGCATGATATAGCCCAGCGCAACACCTTCATCACACATGTTGCCACTTGTTTGTACCATTTTCAGGCGATTTGTAAATAACGATGTGTTTTTGGATATTTGTGGAGTTAGGTGGTCCGCGAGTGTTTTTTTATTGGTTAAGTGGTCCTTGGTATGAAAAAGTTTGAGAAACACTGGCCTATACCAGTGTTTCTCAAACTCTTTCATACCAAGACCACACTTTGAGAAGCACTGGCCTAGAAAGATATACCATCCATGCAGCACTCTAGTTAAAAATGCTTATGTCGGATCCGTTGTTTTACCTGTCATGGACCAGAAGTTGTAAGACTTCAGGTGTTGCCGAAACGTGTCTTTTGTTTCCTTTGGAATCTCAGGACCCAAAATATTGGACGAGGATCCAATAGTGACATTATATCTGCATAGAGTAGAAGATAAAGACAATTAGAAAAAAGTGTATTACAATAGCCTAATTAACAAGGTTTATATCGCTGTCTGTGCCTTTTTTACTACAAAACCTAATGCTGCCGTTACCTGTTTTCAATCCAGTGCAGCACAGGGTCCCACTCATTCTTCTGCAGCTCAACCAAACTCGGGGGCTCATCTACTCTGTAACTGCACAAAACATAAACACCATTAACTTTTCAATCCACAACTGAAAGTGTCGCACTTTAAACAATTTACCAAGAACTTCTGCAAATAACCAAAAACAGGTAAAGTCAACAAGCTATTCAGAATGCAGGACAGCACATCTTGAGAAGGAATCAAGTCAAGGATTAAATGGCAAAATAGTCCATCTAAAGCAGTCATTACATGCATGTATGGCTATACTGACCGTAAATCTAGAGTGTTGACACTAGCTCCAGCTGTATAAGTGATTTACAAAAAACTTGTTATCCCTTGAAGCAATATAATGCTGTTGCAAAATGGAATAATTAAATAAGTTGTTTACCAGACAGTATCAGTTTCCAGGAACTTCAGGGCAGCGCTGATCATTTGCTCCTTGGTACGATGGGTAGGATTGTCCAGAGCTGTGTTGCAAAGTGTAGTCTGCAGGAAGAATTTACAACATTACTCTTTCAGTCAATTACGTTTTTAACTGAACATATTGTCTTAGGAGTAGAAAAAAAAAACTAAAAACCATGGCAAAAATGTGTCTGCGTCAATACACTAAATGAAGGCTTCTCATACATCTTCAAAAACTATCGAGTGTCACCTAGAGCTAGTTTTCTGGTCTCAAATTCTTCTCACATTCGCACATTAACCTTCAACTTATCATGACATGTAAATCAACATATTGCATATTTTTCAATAGCATTGAAGGAGTCCCAAATGCATAATGTATGTAATTGAAAAACACAACACAAGAATATCAAGAAACACTCAATTGGGCTCTGATCCAATGAGGAAGACACTTTAAACCCCCTTCTAGTTCCCAGTCAAAGTCGTACCAGGTGCATTGTGTAGTACTTCAGTGTGTCCTTTTGAGCATCCCACTCGGTTGCCACAGCGATGGCCATGGCTTCATTTGGTGCTGTGAACAGCTTTCCTCCAGGAGTTTTTAATTTCCTTCTGTCTAGGTTTACCTCATATAGACCACCTTAATGAAAGTGAAAACAATGTTAGAGAGGCAGGAGTAAAGCATAGCATGGACTTAAGTGGCTTGCTTAATATCAAACGCATTAAATGATTAAAAGTGCTCTTTTCACCAACAAAGACACCTAGGAGGAACACATTTAACAGTGGAGAGTGCTTGTTTCTACACCATCTAACTTAGTATTCTCAATCAAATAACTATCATACTCTGTTTGACGTACCTTCACTTTGGGATATACTGACATCTTTATAAAATCTTCTTTTTTCTGTAAGTAGCAGAAATCATCACATCAGCACAAAAAGGTTAAGTTATACAATGTATTGCTGCAGCAGATTTTAATCAACATTTAATTGAAGCATCTTACCTGCTAAGGCTGAAGAATAATTCACAGCACACCGAAGCTGCTGATTTCTTGGGCACACTTTATCTGGAGAGAGGATATTTCCGAGCGGACCCTGAAGTCTAACAAGCCGCCTAAACATATTTGCAGTTATGTTAAAATGCAATGTTATTAGGAAATGCTAGCTGACAGGCTAAGCTACTAGCCGTTTCTGACTGCAGTTCGTCAATGAATTAAATGCCACATTTTAAACGAGTGAATATGAATGCAAATTAGCAGCAGTTCTTGTTGATAATGTTTTGGCTATCTGTATAAAGTGATGTCTCTATTCACTGCTTCGTATTTCTTCCTTTGCAGCTCCTTCGTTCAAAAGCATGATGCGTGTGACCTTCTGTTACTAGTAAGACAGCGAAAAATGTATCACAGTTGGGAAATGTAGTTGTATAAGTACTTAAAATCACCGTAGTACTTCTGGAACAAACTACACTCAAATATTCCCATAAAGCCTTCCGCACGTCGAACCAATGAGCGTTGAGGATGTTACCAAGGTGAATTCAGTTGGCCAATGAGAGCGCCCGATTCTGCTGGCTACGGTGCCGCGTCGAAGTCCACTTACTTTTCTGGAAGCGCCTGGTAAACTAAATTGTGGAGGGATCGGGGGTTGATTTGAATGTTGTTGGACCTCTTTAGTCCTCTCCGTAGACAACGACAGAGTCCATCGCTAAGACGGCAATCGACTGCGGTCGGTGCCCAAGCCAGCGACCGGGAGCCATGCCTGTCCTCAGCCCCGCCGCGGCCTTCTCATCCTCGGCCTCGCTTATCCCTCCGCCGCCGATAAACACCCAGCAGCCCGGTGTTGTCACCTCGCTTCTGTACAGCGGCTCCAGGTTCAGGGGCCACCAGAAGAGCAAAGGGAACTCGTACGACGTTGAGGTTGTTCTACAGGTGAGGCTTCTTAAAAGTAGATATTTTTGTTATTTAGGTAAGCTGTCAAAGGGGGGTATTTGGTGATCTGTCAAACGGGCGGTGTGATGATTGACAGCTGGGGAATCAGTGAGCCCTGTGGCCTGTGGTTGAGTAACTCGACTAGCTGTCCATGTAGCAGGGCTAGCTAATGTTTACTAGCATTTTCCACCATAAGGAGACATGTTATTCAATGTTAACATGGAATATATTAAATAATAGAGGTGTAACCATGTTTGCCTTCTGCATTGTTGGAAAAGCCATACCAACCTTATGTCTGTTAAATTCAAATGACAACATAGCCACTGATATGAGGTAAATGTTCCCATTCTAAGTTGTTGATTGTGTTTTTCCTTCTAAGCATGTCACCATGGAGGATTCCTACTTGTGTGGCTACCTAAAGATAAAAGGACTGACAGAGGTAAGTGGAGTAAATCCCTTTTTTAAAGACACAAACGTATGATTTATACTGGATCCTATTATAAAAACTTATCCACTCTAGTTCCATGTTAGGCTACTATAGATACTACTATCCTACAGTATCATGCAAATCCAACAGCATGACAACAGTGATTGAAGATAAGCAGTTCATATCAGTATGTGTATTTCAGTCGTCAAATTCTAACCTATAATCTTTTTAAATAAACAAACCAACATTTATCAGATGAGTTGCACCGGAGCAAAACAAAACACCAATCTCTTCCTGTTGCGTTCACTCTCGCAGGAATACCCGACTCTGACCACGTTCTTCGCTGGAGAGATCATCAGCAGGAAGCGGCCGTTTCTCACTCGGAAATGGGACGCAGATGAAGATGTGGATCGTAAGCACTGGGTAAGGAGAAAACATGTTAATTCATATTTAGAGGTGTATACCAAAGATTTAAACACGATACAATTATTAGAGATATCAAAAAGTCTGCAACGATTTTGTTTTTCCATTATCATAATTAGAATTTGCTCTTCCAGGTACTAAAAAAACATATTCTTCGTGATAAAATGAACTAAAAATACCTCTGTTCTTTTCTATAAAGTGCCACATTTGTCATGTTTAAATAGCAAATGTCGATCAGTTAGGAATTTCAAAATGAGTGCATATCTTAAAGAGCAGACATGTATCAATGTTTGCAATTTGCGACATTGTAACTGGATTGTTGATAATTTCAGGGATATTTTAATTCACATAAATAGATTGTTACACTCTATTCATAATCTACACACAGACTCCACATCTGGCTGGCTTACCGTGCCATAATCCGTTTTCTTTTTTATGTCTAGGGCAAGTTCCAGGCTTTCTACCAGTATGCAAAGACGTTCAACTCGGATGATTTCGACTACGAGGATCTGAAGAACTCGGACTTTATTTTCATGAGGTGGAAGGTAAGGTCCAGCCTAAATGGAGCTTGACCATATGTTCAAGTAAGTCACCGCACATGAACCGCAGCTGCTGCTATTCCTCACCCTGTCCCTCCGTCCCCACAGGAGCAGTTCCTGGTCCCTGACCACACAATAAAAGACATCAGCGGAGCTTCTTTTGCCGGATTTTACTACATATGCTTCCAGAAATCCACAGCAACGATCGAGGGCTACTACTACCACAGGAGCTCTGAATGGTAAGGCAACACAACACTAGTTACGCTGAGGTGTAGAGTGGTAAGAATTTGCGGGATCAGAGCCCAGACTGGCTGGAAAATCAGGGTGGGGAAAGTCCTTAACACAAAAGAAAACCATTTTGCTTTTGTCAAAGTGCCCTTAATTCTCAAATTCCCCTTGCTCAGATTATTGGTGAAACTTAGGCTGTGTGTAACCATTTATATGCATGAAGAAGAACGATCTAACTCTCAGTTTGCTGCATTCGATTAATATGGTCGCTCCCTGCTTATAAGCAAAACACTGAGGCCTCCTTGTCCTCTGTCATAGTCTTCTCAATCTCATTTGACATTCTTTGGCTTTTTTTTCAAATCCTTTTCCACATTACGGTTTGGCTTTTGTAACAGCCCTCTTTGTTCATTCCATTTCGTTTATTTGTTTTAATTCCCTTCTCTGACCAAAAATACTTGGAAGCAGTTTTGTTGAATGATACACAGCCAGCAATAATGTCATACTTGTAAGTGTTTGGCATTATTGAGAGGAATGAAAACAGTATTAACTGCAATGTGAATGTTGTTATGGACTTATAAATAGCTTGTTTATAGGATACACTCTGTGCTCTTTGCTGCCTTTTACCAAACACTGATGTCAATTCGACAAACCACACTGAAGAAAAGGCTGCATATGAACCTCCACTGTGACATTGTGTTCCTTAAACTCAGCTTTTATTGCCTTTCAAGTGTCGGCATCCATCTTTTGACTAAATCTTTTTTTTACAAACTTAAAGCAGTTGTGTCAGAACAGTCAAACGAAGTACATTTTTTCACATAAGCTCATTTTAACGCAACAACTAAATGCCTGATATTGTTTTACCTGGCCTGGTGATCACATATGAAGGCAAATGACATCTAATGTACACAAGTTCATTTCTAAATTGAAATACCTTGAATGGCTGTTGTAGAAAAAATAGATCAGAAAAGGGGTTTGATTTCATACAAAAATCTAAACGATTGTGTCTTTTTTTAAACTGGATAAATACTTCTTTTTTTTATATCTGAGAAGTGCATTTTGATAGTGAGCTTATTTGAGCTATTGACGGCTGGAAATGCATAATTTTCACGGCTTGATGCAGTCTGAAAGCACCAATGCAGAAACACTGATAACTAATTTCCCCTCTGTGGGACTAATAAAGGTTTTCTGATTCTGATACATCATAACCATGCTTTTCAATATGTGATAACCATGCTGAGATTTACATGGGATTTGAACCTGTAATCCTTTTTATTTGCTTTTCATATCCAACCCTATGTGTACCTCTAACACATACCTATCCTAACATACACTGTGTTGTTGTCCGGCTGCAGGTACCAGTCTTTAAACCTCACCCACGTCCCCGAGCACAGTGCAGCCATCTATGAGTTCCGGTGACCCCGGCCCGGCGTTGTGGATCTTTTATTTTTCATGGACAGAGACTTGAGGTAAAGCAGAGGTCTGCAGATGCTGCTGAGGAGGAAGAGGAGGAAGAGGATAACGAGCAGGGATGGGAATAAAGGCTTTGGAGAAATGAAAAAGTCTAACGTGTTCCCAATGGGTGGATATCGGACAAATGAATGTATGGATGAGAAGAAGGACAAGAAAGTGGAGATGTGCTCCCTGGCTGGAGCTTTTAAAGTAAGAAGCAGCAGCAGCAGCAGCAGAGACTGGGCGTGGCTCATATAGCGTGCCCCCTTTCATCATTTAACGTCTGGTTTTTAAATCAAACGCATCTCAAGAAACCGTACAAGCTGAGTTGGGATTTCCCATCCTTGTTTAGCGACTTCCCTCGCTGATACCGTTGGACGAGGATTCCTCTGAGGAGTCTGCTCTCATTAACACGAAAGAAAATCGCCAAGGAAAAATAAAAGTTTGGGTTCTTGATTGATTGGAGCTTTAATCAGCCCTTAAGCTAGAACGACAGTATTTTCTTTTTTAAGCTAAGCTGTTTCTTTATTTTGTCATTTGACTCTTAATGATGGACGCAGAGTGATGCTTTTTTTTAAAGCTGCAATGTGAGGAGCTTTTCCCCCGTGTTCATACAACTGCTTGGGAGATTATTATCACATGTGATTGCTGTGGGTCTATTGAGTTACGTTTGCACAGAGATGGTCTATATGTTAATAATGCTTGCAGTCAGGATGTTACACTCAGCTGTTTTTAAGGGTTTGACTGTGAGGGGAGTTCAGAGCCAAAACAATCACATAAAAGTATTAATAAAAGAGTATTTTTTTTTTCCTGCACTCTGCGTTAAACAAAGAGCTTTTTACTCCCTCATGTGTCATTTTAAATTAAGATCCCCACCATCCTTTTATTTCTGTCCCTTTGACTATGCAACACTTTCAACATGGCACTGTCCAAACACAAAACCTGCAGTTTTCAGAGACAACATTTTATTCTATCCTCATAGTATATGAAAGAATCTATCTTCAATAAAGGAAATATTTTTGTTGAATTGCCTTTGAAAGCACTCCCTAAATCATGTTCCCTCCCCATGTGATTGTGCCATGTTTCTAAAGCTTATCAGAGTTGTATTATAACAGTGTGTTTGTTTGAGAATAAGCCTGGATTTGATTGATGGTGTGACTGTAAAGAATGGATTATGAATTTTTAAAAATCATATCAAATCATCTTTTGATGTGTCTTGCTTGTTTGACCGAAATACATGTTTAAGTGATATTTTGAAACCACATCTTATGTCAATTATGAAGTGATTTAAGCTATCCATCCTAAACAGTAAAAATAAAATGTTAACTACTTTTCAACATTTACAAAAAGTACCAATCGCAAAACCCAGTTTGGAAATAAATAATAACTATTCAAAAAAAAAAAGCAGC